CATGGGCCAGATTTTAGTCTTAAAAAAAGTTACTTATTTTTCTCAGGAAAGTGTCCTGAACTTCCATACATACCAAAACTGGTTGTATATAAAAATTAAATGTATATGAAAACAGGCCAACTTCTGGTGCCGTTTATATTCATTCAAACACAAATGTGAAAGCAGAATCTGTCCCAACACTGAGGGCCAGAACCTCAGCTGGGATAATTCAGCATAAGTCATAGTTTCATAGTTTGTAGGGTCGGAAGGGACCTTGACAGATCATCACATCCGACCCCCTGCCATGGCAGGAAAGAGCACTGGGGTCAAACGACCCCAGCAAGGTGTTCATCTAGCCTCCTCTTAAAGACCCCCAGGGTAGGAGCCAGCGCCACTTCTCTTGGAAGTTGGTTCCAGATCCTACCCGCCCTGACTGTGAAGTAGCGCCTCCTGTGAAGTCTACTGATTCTATTGGAACTGTAGCAATTTATACTAATTGGGGTTCTTACAAATATGCTTTTTACCTGTGTGCTTGAAAGGTGGTGATGTCCTGTGTCAGTTATGAAACTGCATAATAAATTACCTGAGCCTTTAACAATCTCACCTTCCCATAGCTTCAAACAGATGCGTTTAAACAAGAGCAGTAAGAAAGACTTTCTTCCCCCTTCCCAAAATGTAGTATTTCACCAGCCCAATGCAGCATGGGCAAGATACTTGTGGGCAATTCCAGTTTTTCTATATATTCAAGTGCTGTGACTTTCAAGCCTGTTATCTTGATACCCCCATAAGATCAGTAACAGGAGATTCCCAGCTTCTGGCCCTGAAAGAGCCCAAGATAAAAGAATGATGTTTTCATATATACAGAAAGGTTATTTACAGTCGTATTTCAAGGCTTCTGTGGTTCCCTCTGACCTCTAGGCAGTTGGATTCAGATGACTAAAGTGCTTGGATTTATAGGAGTAAAGACACAAAAAATAGTTCTGATATTTAAGAAAGTGCTGAAAAATTATTTGAAAAATAGTTTTTCCACTCACATGTGGCATATAAAGACATGCTGTGTTGTAGTACAAAATTTTATTGGCACTTCTTTAGAATGAGCTGCATAACTCACTCTAAGCTTGGCTACTTGAGAATAATGAGTTTATCCCAAACTCATGTTGCTAGAACATTACAACCCCATGCCTTTACATAATTCATCTTTTATGCCTACAAGTACGTATGTACTGCTATAACAACAGACAACACCAAACATCAACCAGCTTCTTCCCCACACAGGGTCCCCTTCCCCCCACCCCACCCAGCCAAATGGTCTAAGATGTGTATTTTGGATCAGCCAGGGGCGGGGAAAGTATTCCCAGCCAGGCCACAAGAAAGGTCGTTTACTAGATAGGCTGAGACTCTGGAATCATCCCAATTAGCCTGATTCTGTGTAATGTGCATTCTCACATGGCCTTTTACATCTATGCCTTTCTTCTGTAAGTACCTGAGTTCCTGTTCTTCTACTCATATTTATGCATTTTAATCTAAAATAACTTGAAATGTATTTACTTTTTAAACTGTTACCCTCCCAAGAATAATGTTTAAAATAATGTTAAATATTAACATAAACAATTGCTGTTAGTTTTATTGCAAATAAATCACTTCTAATCTGAATAAAAGATCAAAAGTAATATTAATCATGCTGGCCACAGAGCAAAAGGACATTCCCAGACATTAACTGCCTTCCAAATATGAAAAACATATTAAATATCTTTCTTATAACAAGATGTTTTCCTCATGTTTCCTTTGTGGGGGAAATCTGTTCAGTGCATTCCTCTTCATGCTAGGCTCTGGCATTATAAGCCAGGTTTGTCCTTCTTCCATCTGCAAAGGGCTGGCTGCTGGGAAGCTGCCAGGTTTACTGTGATATCACTCACTGAACCAAGACTAACCATGTTAAGCTCCAGGCAAGAATGAGTAACAAAGTAAATATATGGAGTTTATGCAGAAAAAAACACTAATTTACTATATAAGGAAATATTTAATCCTCAATCAGGTAAATGTTTTTGTAATTATTCACTTTGGGGGAAAAATATTGAAAAAAGAAACATTTTAGTAGGAGAAATTTCCAGAACAACCCAACTTTTGAGTGCTCTAAAATTTCTACGGTTTAGATTTCTTTCCATACCATTTGGGCCATCTGTATTTGCAATTATGAGTAAAACAATAGGGATTTAAAAATAAATCTTTCCTAAAGCTGCGAATTGTTATGGTGCTTAGAAGCAAACATTTTGAATGACTTGTTTGTTTCTGGCTAGAGATGCCTCAATAGTGATGGATGTGGGTGGCCCCATGCTCTTAAATGACAATGGTGAGAACAGACTTGCTATGGAGAGCTATATTTGTCTACAGCAATTGTACAATAATGTAGCCACTCACATTTCATGGCTACAGATAGCCCCTGCACTGCTGCTGTGATACTTTTCTCGCATCTCTTCGCTATGCCTGTCGCCAAGTCGCTGCCAGCTGACTTTGTCTGGAGCAGTCAATTTTCTATATAAACATCCTCTTTGTATCAAGCGTTTGCCACCTGCGCTGTTCCCGCTCACTTCATCTTAGCATTACTAACTCCTGGAAAGGAGACAATTGCTACTAAAAACATGGTACCCAGGCAATTATTTGGTTCTGTGCGTACCCTTTAATTTCATGTCCCCAGGGAGAGGGGGTGGGGGGAAAATCACCATCAGCCTTAAAGAAAAATTGAGTCTTAATTGTTTTATTATTTTTACATTTTTGTTCTTTCCAACCACAGTGTATTTACTTCTTTTAAAAATTCTGCAATTGAAGCTGCTATCTGGCTTTCCCAAACTTATACAAGTAATAGGAAACCTCAAAAAACGAAACACAAATACTTCCATGACAGTTACAATACAAAGAAGCTGAAACTGTCAGATGATTTCCTCTCATCTACATCAAGTTGTCACCGGAGCACAGTTGGAGCTAACACTGTGCAACAATCCCTGGACGGGTGAATGACTATCTGAGAATCACAGACCTACGTGGTTTTTATCACAGCCTCTAATTTACATTGTTACAGGAATGGGGGGAAAGGGAGAGAAGTACGCTGAAGCAACAAAACTAAGAAGATATAATCAGGAAGCCTCAAAAGCTGATATACACATTTTGTTTCCTTTTACACAGCCATTTTCATGTTGGCACAGACAACTAGTGAAATGTTGGTCCTTTTTTGTTTCCCTTGTGTACGCATTAAAAGCTAAAAACCATGAGTCAGTGGAAATGAGCTGCCTCAGGCATAGAACTTAGAGCAGCACCGTAATATTAAATCCACAATTAGAAGCTATTATTAGGACCTAGAGAAGGGAAAAAGTGATGACCGAGGTTCTACAGTGACCGTACAGAAAAGGCAGTGAACCATTAAAAACATTCCTTCTGAGAACTTTTTTTTAAATAAATAATATCCTTTTTTAACATTTTAGAAAGAAGCATCAAGCAAAAATTGAAGCTTTCTTCCAATAAAGGCACTTTTTGAATTTCATTTACAGTCCAGACTTTTGTGCCCTCTGGTGGGGAAAAGTATTGAATGCCAGGCCGCTTGGTAGGCTAATGCTAACCAGACAATTATGCAGACCGCTTCGTTCATAACAATGTGCTATTTTTTGGCACTTAACCTAGTAGAATGCGCATACGCTACATGTATGTCTTAGTACAGTGTAAGAATAAGCATTTAATCTTTGTTAAAAAGCTCGTTTTAAAAGGCCATTTATTTTGCAACACATAAGGAGCTGTTTAAATGTGCAATCTAACTTGTTTCAGGTATGTCCAAAGTGTCTAACTGACTTTTGGATACCTCAGATGCCTGACAACTCATATGGAAATAATCTTTAAAGGCAGCCACTGTATTGCTTCTACAACAAGCATTTGGGTTTAATGTTTGGTGTCTGAAAAACTGACTGAAAAAAGAGAGGATATTTTTTCTATTGAGTAAGCACATCAAAAAGACTTTTCACCACTTGTCAGTAAGTATACAACACAGCAAAAGTCAGTTCTGCCTACATCTAACAGCAGCTTTCCAAAGCAGAGGAATGGCAGACTGAGGTGACAGGAGACGGGAGGAAAGGTGCAGGCTATCTGGCAAAGACTAATCCAGGGCCAGACCCGTCTTTGATTCCTGCTCCACCCAAACTTTAAACCCAACTGTCTGGGAGAGGAAGCAGCATTTCTATTCAAGCAGTGCTCACAGTCAATCGACTTCATGGCTCATTATCATCTCCCTGATTCCTGCTAATCTCATTCCATTCCACAGGTGTAAATGACCCTCTATCCTTTTTAACAGTCTTGATGCTCCACTATTCAAGCTATTCTTTCTTCTGAAATTTTGCTGTCGGTTAGCCATTCCTGGTAATGTCTCTCTTCTACTTCACAGCCCTGAAGTCTGTTTCAAGTGCTAGCTAAAAACCTTAACTCAGGTGTGGTAATATTAGCTCAGGTGTAAGAATGACCAACAGTGAATACTGGAAGCACTGTCGAGACACTTCAGAAGGCTCGATCGTGTTACATGAACCTGAATAAGACATGTACATTTAACTACAGTGACTACAGGACTAGTGACACAATACCTTTTGACTATTTTGACTATTTTTGCTTAGCTTGTTGCAATTTTTCAACTTGATGTATAACCTAGCAAGTTAGTGCACATTCCAATACTTACATTTGTTTTTGCTTTGATCTTAAACTGAAAAGCACAGTGGTAGGCCTCTAGTATATTAGTAATGCATCTAGTTTCTCTTTAACTGGAGAAAAATGTGTTATATATGATTATGTGCCTCCCTCTTTTCAAAAGCCTAGATCTACCCAGGGATTAACTTAATGCTGATTAGTTGACCTAATAAAATAAAACTTTATTACCTATCCAGCATGTGTTTTGGCACTTCAACAAACTTTATCAGAACTGGAGTTCCCTCACCACAAACAGGAAGAGGTTAGCAGCACAAAAATGGCAGCACAGATGCCTATGAGTCCCTAATGTAGCTCATATAGAGTACTAAGTAAAAGTCGGTTAGACCTTTTAACATTCTAGCTTTGAAAAAGCTACAGAAGTTTGCTTTTCACCCATAAGAATCAAAGATATGTCTTCAACTGTGAATGCACTTGGTTTCAGTCAGACCTGCAAAATTTTGGGATGTATTGTTCTGTTTTAATTCCCTTCTTTGTCGGTACTGAATAAGGAAAAGGACAGAAGAAAAGAAAAAAGATAGTAAGAAAAAATAAGAAAAAGGAGAGTATATAGTCTATAACAAGCCTTTTACTGACTTACAAGGTTAAAATTTGTCAATACACAGTACAGTCATGCAGTTCTAAAATACAGACAGCATTCAGAGAAGACAAAATATCAACCTTCAAATATCATTTTAAAAGACTACTGCTACAGAAGAGGCCTGGCCAACAACATTCTTAGCTTTATCCATGGAGCTTTGACAACACAACTGCCATTAATGGTAACAGGAGCAGCATATTTAAAGCCTGTCCATAGCATATATAATAGTTGCATTTATAAAATTAGCAAAAAATAAATAAATAAAAAAGAAAGTAAACTGAAGCAATACTAGCCTTCTTCATAACACCTTATTCTGACATAAGTAGATTAGAGTCTCCTCTATGAAAAATACATCCCTGCTCCAGCAGTACTTAGATAAGCACAGACACACAATATGCCTACAGGCCACAATTTTTCATTTGTATCCTCAGTCTTCTTGGCTGATCTACAGCTAACCTGCCAAAATTAACTAACTTAACCTTCCACTCCGGCTCAAATTGAACCAGCTAACTGAAGCTCATGACACAAAGCAGAGCTCAAAATGTGCAAGAATAATTACAAAACTTAAAAATATATATC